ATAATTGATAATTATAAAAAATAATTATTAATAAATATTTAATAATATTTATTTATAACTTATAGTAATAAATAATAATTAATATTAATTTGGGTTACAATTGAAAAAAGTGATAATAAGCTATTAAAACGTTATTCCAAGTATCGTTTTAATAAGTTGGGTTATAAGATAGTTTATGTGCATCCAAACATGTACTCAGAAAATAAGCTTCCTTATTTTTGTCAAATAATGCCTAACATATACCCTAAAAGATTGTTTAAAACATATAAAATGAAGATTTTGAGTAAGTTTTTTGTTGGAATAGATTCTATAATACTTTTGTTTCATTATAAAGAACATAAAAGTATAAATTATTCAAATTTGGAACCTAAGATCTCATGTTCATATCAGAGTATTTTCAAAATTCTCTATTTTCTCTATAATACAAAAACAAAGGTTAAATTACATTAAAATAGAACCAACTTTAAGTTATATTCCTATTTTAGGAAACAAACTTTTGAAATCTTGCAAATAGTCTGAAGTGCACAAACACAACACTTCTTATCATCATCTGTTTTCCTGACAAATCCACAAAATATGGGATTTTTCTAATTCAGTCTGGCGGGAAAAAGCATACATAACCCTCTTCCTCTATGAGATCTCAGACAAACATTAGAGGAGATGTCTAAGTTCCATTATCCGGAGAGTCCCCCGGGAGGGAGATTGTCGAAGTACTAGCGGAATCCCAAACTGCCTCCGTCTCCTATGCTGATCTGCATAACCCTAGCCCCGACTTCATATCCTATCTCTATACTCAAATACTCATCCAAATCGGATGTCTCGGTACACATTTCTAACCCTAATTTATTTATACTTATTTTTTAAAACTATATATATATATATATATATATATATATATATATATATAGGCGGGTTACTTTGAAAACGCTCAATTCTTAAAAACCATGCAAACCAATTTCGACTAATAGAAAAATTCAGTTTTTGTAATTAATTTTAATCAGTAAGGGTTTAATAGTCATTTCTATTGATTTTTTATTAATATTGGAAGGTAATAAATTTTATTAATTTTAGAAACATATGAAAGGAAACATTTAATATGGTAGGAGTTAAATCTTTTTCTTAATTTATTTTTTCACAATAAATATGTTTTATTTATTTTCACGATTATACTGAATAAAAAAATGAATTTTAAAATCAGTTATTGTTTGATCTTATCAAGAATTGTTGATGAAATTGTTTCAATTCTTTATTTTTTTTGGATGATCTTGTTCCCTTAATGTTTATGAATTTGTATGGTATGGTAGATGCAGTAACTTAATGAAAGGTGTTCAGATATCAAAACTTTTATGGATAAAATTGTTGCATAATTTATTAGGATACAAAATATTTTCTATTTGAAAAAAGGGCATTAATTTAATTGAAAAAGGGAACTAATTTAATGAAACTTGTTCAGATTTCGAAAATTTTATGGATGAAATCACTACAAAAATGCAGAGTATCAGCGAGGGAAAATTCCGTCGCTAAAAGGGCAATTCGTTGTTGATACTCCGTCGGTCAAATGGTCGTAGGTAATGCTATCAGCAACGGATCAGCGACGGATTTACGAGGGATACTTTCAGCGACGGATCAGCGAGGGAAGTATTTAGCGACGGATCTGCGACGGATCTTTCAGCGACGGATCTGCGACGGAACCTTCAGCGACGGATTTGCGAGGGAATTTTCAAAGACTTTCAGCGAGGGATTTTCCTTCGCTAATCCGTCTCTAATTTGTATAAATTTAAAAAAATATTTTTTTTGAAATTGCATAATTCCTGTATTTATTTATAAAAAAATCTGAAAATAATAATATAACAAACCAAAATTGTGAACAAATTTTAACTAACCAATTCATACGATTTAAAATATGGATTCATACAATTTAAAATATTCAATTCATACAATTTAATCTTCAAATACATACAATCTAACTATAGGGAGGTGGGGGTGTGAGAAAACGTATCCTGACTGACGCATAAACGCAGCAAAATGCTCCGATAATGCGGCATGTTGGGCTAATGCAGCAGCTTGTCTGGCCTGTTCGGCCTCCAAATCTGCCCTATTCTTCCGTTCGGTCTCCAGTTCCTCTTCTACCCTTGCCAACTTCTCTCTCAACTCCGTTACCTGTAAATATTCAATATTCGACAAAATCAGTGATTTGTTCGCAATTTTAGTGATGAGAAAGTTTATAACAATATAATCAACATACCTCCGCTCTTGAATCGTATGATGACCTGCTACTGCTACATCTACCCGTCATAGCATAAGCGGGATCCTGGGTGGTCCCGAAACTAAATATTCGACCTTTCATCCGTCCTCCGACACTTTGCTCCCAAAGAGATGCCTCATCAGGGGGAGGGCTGTCGGTACTAGATTGTGACTTACCCCTAAGCGATTGAAATCGCTCATGTGGTTCACCAAAACAAAAATGGATGAGGTTATGTATGTAGATATTTCAGCAGTATAACGACTGTAAATCAAACATAAAAAATGCCTATATTTAACAACTAAGCATTCTAATAATACTAATGTTCGAAGTCACATTCTCAACCTATTTACTTAGCCTAACGTCTGCCCAACAATGGCAGCCCAAACTAATAGCATCACTATATTTATTAAAATATATTACCTTAAACATACCAAACGTATCTATTAACCAAAGTAATGGTTTTAGAAAACTTACATGATACCTAGCAGCTTTGGGGTAACTGAACTGAGGATGATCGGTAGACAGGTCGGACGAATCTTGATCGAACTTCCGAATTTTTGGGGGAGTAAAAAGCCCATTTGACATCTCTTCATCTGCAAATAATTCTCGATGTGAAAACACAAAGACAAAGGGTTGTGTTCGTGCAGTGAGTGCGCTCAAACACATCAGTAGCAGTCGGCTCACGACCCATTACTTGTGCCTACATTATTGTACAATGTCTTAATAAAGAATAAATTTAAAATACATTATTGTAATAAGAAAAACTCAAAGGTACAATGGTATAATAAGGAAACTTATAAAGTAGACTATTATTTCGCGCATTTTGTCTTTGCATGAAACTTGAAAATGTATAATTGGGTTGTTGGGCCCTAGAAAATTTTGTTGTCCTGTTTCATATATCATGTCATAACACACTTCAACGTAACCCTGGTTTTAACCGGTTCAGTTTTAGTTGCAAATCACCATTGATTTCATATTTTAACTCAAACTTGGTTTAAAAGTCATCATGTTTTTTGTTTCTTTTTTCTTGACATAAAATATATAGAATTATTATGCAATGAGTTTCGAAAACTTTACGATCTATGTAACACGTTCTTGACCGATCATCATGACAACGGTGGTTGTCGGAAGTTCAACTCTAAATCATCGATTTGATCAAATAACATGCTTCAGATCAATAGAAACTAGATTATGACTTCATACATGTAATTAGATTCAAAAATGGTTTTAAAATGTACTCAAATCAGTCAGAAAATTTAAATTTTTGTGGTCGATTTCTATCGCACGTGTGGTGCGTAGAGTTTGGTCTCTTAGAGTGACGTTTGCTTGATTACCTATAGTTTGAATCTAGGGACCTATGAAACCGACATTGCCATAAAAGTTGACCCAAACACCCAGAAATATCAACAATATACGACTCAGAACTTCGTTGATATATTACAAATGTTTCAGCGGTCTAGAATCCCTCAATACTTAGGTCGGTAGTAGATTTTCATACCTTGCCACAATGTATATTCGAGCATCACATGATTGGTTTCTAATGAGATGGTAAACGTTACATCTTTAAACCAAATAAATTAGTTTTGAATGGTTTTTCAGTGACTCTTACCTCTTTAAAGCAAATCTAATAGTTTCACACGGTTTTTGGGTAGTTCTCATATCTTTTAAACGAAATCAAATGGTTTCGGATGGTTTTTTTGTGTAACTGTTATGTCTTTAAATCATAACAAATTCAATAGTTTTAATTGTTATATCTTTAAAACATAACTTCAATAATTCACGACTTTTTGGACTTTTTCTACTCGTCAAATAACTTAGATGTCAACTAATACAATTGTAAAATAAGACGCTTGTAATACGTACTAAAAACCAATATAAGACGAGATTCCACAAACGTCTCTAACTACTTAAGTTCCTAACGTCATACCAACCAAATATAAATTTACAACTGCCTTTTGTTCTATTTAAAGGTTAGGTAAAAGGACGAAATTACCCCTGACTTAACGATTATGGACCCGATCCATACAATAATAAAACCACATATAGTAGCATGTCACAAATGTTTTTGTTATATTTAAAAAAATAGGTAAAAAAGATGAAATTACCCCTCAC